TCAATGTCAATATTGTTGCCATCACTATCATCACCTCATTTATCATTAGTACGATACATAAGCCGACGAAATGAACTGTCGAAGAAATAATTTTCGACGAAATGAACTTTCGATGAAATGAACTTTCGACGAAGTGATTGTCGACGAAATAATTTTCGACAAAGTAAACGGGACCGATAACATCAATGTCATATAGAGAATTCTACTAAATTCATTTGATCTTTTGCAATTGACATTTTGTTGTTAGTGATTAATTAATTCATTAAGGGGATACAAAAATGATAAACATGATTTTTAGTTCAACTAGAATAGCTCATAAAAAACAACAACTACCCTCTAATAACACTTACTTATGTATAGTATCATCAAGTTCTTTAATTGTTTTTTATTTAATAAAATAAACCATCATTTTATCGATTTAGTATAAATTTTCTAAAATAGCAAAATTTTCTGTGGTGAACAAAGGAAATTCAAATAATTTTAACTTAGACACTGGGTATGATTTGATTACAAATGGAAAATTTCATGTTTCTATATAGAGAAGAAATAAGTATGGATTATTGAGAAAGTTCTATAAAAAAATAAAATAAAAGTTTTTTTTTTTTTTTTTGGTGTCAATTTTAAATAGTACATAGTTTTTAATTGAAAATAGTTAAACGACATTAAATTAAAATAACCTTTTGATTAATAAATGTATTGGCATACAAAAACGTGTTTTTAGTCATTAAATTAATGTAATAACTTTTTGTTAAATTTTCTGATGATTCAGCTTGTCGAATTAATTCACTTAACAAACGACTTGTATAAAATGGTTCAGGATGATGTTTATGGTTCTTTTTATCCAACTGAAACTTTTCTGATTTGATGATTTGTCTTCACATGTAGAATTTCTTAAATAATTGTCATTATATTAATATATAATATATGCTTTTTTGGTAAATTAACAAGTAACGATATCATTTTAAACATGACCTGATCAAGACAAAACTTGAAAATCAACAACAATAACTTGATTTTTTTGCATTGGCTGTTCAAATACTCTTGTATGGAAAGTTTTCATTCTACTTTTACTGTGTTAAATTTAAATTGGTTTCAAAGTTATTAATAAAAACATTCCACGTGTGATCTCACGTTTATAAACTATTAATTGCCCAGACTAAGCTTTTTAATTCTTAGCATTCCTAATTTGGAGGTTTGGTGACGTCTTTAATAAACAAGCAATCACATGCTCATGAACTGATTGTCTAAAAAAAGAAAAGATCTATAGAATAATTTTGTTTAATATGAGGAAACCAAATATTATGATTTTGAAAAAAATATCTTGAAAATAATTAAAAATCAAGCTATGCAAGAAGAAAATTACTCTAAACTATCTGAAACAATTCAAGAACCATTTACAGAGCATATTGGAAATGAAGAAGCAAAAGTAGAAGAAACATATCAACCTTCAAATTTTTCCGTTCAATTTTCGAATGTTACTAATGTAACAAAAGTAGGTCTAGATTTTGCAAGTGTTGTTTCCAAAGTTACATTTGATACAATGAAGCTTACAACTCAAACTGGGCTAGGAATTACCAAGGTGGTGACTGGTACTGTATCAGATAGTTTAATCTCAATAAATAATGCTACAATGAATGCCATTAATAACAATAACGGAGACATTGATAATAATGGAAATAATGATAATACTGGGTAAGAAAAGTTTTTTATAATTATGATAATGTTGGGGATAATGACAGCCTTTAAAAGGAGATAAATATATATGTCTGTATGTGTATATTATTTGATTTCTTGTAAAAAAAATTTTTTTTTTGTCAGATACTCATTTATTCCAATGATAATCGATACATCAACAAATATATTACACAAAACATTGTCAATTGCTGAGAATATTGCTTTGTTTGGGATAGATTTGACATCGGATACTATTCAATATAGCTTGGATACAACAACTGATGGTTTATCAGTTGTTGAAAGCTTGTTTGGTATATCTGATTCAGCTAAAGCACTTGAAGAATTTGTAACACTTGTTAAACGTGAATGGAGATTTGATGATATTGATGAAAACAGTTGTGATGATACTATTCACAATAGCGATAGATCTGTAAATAATATCGATGGCGGTGATAGCAGTAATAATTTGGATACTACTAATGATGGTAACAATAATAATGTTACAAAATTTAGAACATTACGTATTATGAAGGCACTAATTGTATGGACATTTATACAACACATTACCAGAAAAAGATGGGCGAATAAAATCAATGGTAGTTGCGAGAAAATCAAGCATGTAGATTTATGTAATATTGATAAAGATTGGAGAAAATTGAATCTTTATGAAAAATTATATGAAGTGGAATGGATACATTTGGAGAACGAGGATGATATTGAAATGACTATAATAAATAATAATTATGATAATGATGATTGTGATTTTGATGATTGTGATGTTGATGTTGATGATGGTGGTGGTGATGGCAATAGTGATCGGTATAGTTGTAATAATAGTAGTAATAGTAGTAATAGTAGTAATAGTAGTAATAGTAGTAATAGTAGTAGTAATAATAGCAATAGTACTGATAATTGTGGCATCAACAGCAACAGCATCAATGACGATGAGATTATGGTGGGTGAAATTGCCACTCCTGACAATGGAATGTTGGATCAAGAAAATGAAGATTTAAATAATCTATTTATTGAGACAGCCAAAAAATACAATAATCCCTACTTGGAAGAAAAATCTAGTCAAACAATTGATGAAAAATTATTTACACTTGCACATAATTTGAAAAGATACTCTAAATTTTCATCATCGGCTTACGATTTCAAAAACACACTTCTTTCAAAACTACCATTCAATCGTAATAAAAGAGATCATGGCAATTGGTACAAATTCTCATTTGCCAGTCAAACAAAACTACCATTGAATTCAATAATTGATTCTTCACATCATAATATCCATTATAATAAAAATGATGATGGAGGATATCATCCAACCTATTTTATAATTCGTGACAGAACAACCTCATCAATCATTTTAGCATTCCGAGGCACAATGTCAGTAAATGATCTGATCATTGATCTTACGTGTGATTATGAAGATTTCCAATTACCTCATGACAATAAAACATATAAAGTGCATAAAGGAATTTATAAAGTGGCAAAGACATTGGCAACACCTAAAAAATCTAAAGTTTTTGAAACTATTAAAAAAGAATTAAGAAATAATGAAGGTTATGGACTTGTATTAGTTGGACATTCACTTGGTGCTGGTAAATTATCATTTTATTGTTATTATATAATTAACAATCATCATCATCATCATTAACATTTTTTATTTAATGATAAAAGGAATCGCAAGCATATTAGCACTTTTATTTGCATCACCTAAAACATGTAAAACAACTAAATCAAGTGGTCTCCCTGTTGGACGACGTGTTCATGCTTATGCATTTGCCTCTCCTTGTGTGATGTCTGGTGATTTATCCAAACTGGCAATTCCACTAGTAACGTCAGTAGCATATAGAACTGATGTCATAACTAGATTAAGTGTTGGTCATATAAAGGATCTACGTGATATGATTAAATTTTTGTGTAAAAAAAATAACAACATTGATGGTGATAATGAAGAATTTGTAAGTGTGATTATTAAAAAAATACTTAAATATCAATCATCGAGATTCACTTCCAACAGTTCTAAAGAAGAATGTGAAGACTTTTTCTGGGAAACAAGTCAAAAAATTTATGAGCATATGAATAATACAAAATTGTATCCAGGAGGTCAAGTTTTTTGGATTATTGATAATAATAACAATGATGATAGCGGTGGTGACAATGAATGTAGAAGAGAGGAAAATATTAATGTTAATCAATTACTTAAAGTTAACGATGTTGAAAAGGCCTTTAATGAAATTAGATTTTCACCAAATATGATTATTGATCATTTACCAAGTGTATATGGTAAGTTGGTGATGATTATTATTATTACTATCATTATTATCATTATTATCATTAATTTTTTAATTAATTAATTTTTTTTCTAAACAGAACTTGTCATAATGAAATTGTAAATTATTATTTATTTATATCACAATGGAAGATAATTATGCTTAGCATATAAACGTTACACTAATATTATATTTAATAAAGATAAAACAATAATAGCATTTTGTATTGTGAACATTATTCAACATTAGTTGTATACTCATTAAAAAATAATATCATCAAGTATACGAATATATCAGGTTTTTTTTAAATGCATTGATCGAATGATAATTGTTTAATAAGTAAATCATATTGATATTAATATATATACAAAGAATGATAATGGCAGAATCTATATAAAAAAACATATATTATTTTTTATATATAGATTTATTTATAATAAATAATAAATTGTTATAAACTACAAAATAAAAATAATGAATGAATGTGAATTAAGGTAAATGATTAAAATTAAATGCTTCATTGACCTTTAATTTAAATGGTCTATCTAATTTTTTGCGAGATTTAATAAATGAGTTAACTTTGCTAGATGGCGCTATCCATGAACCCTCAAAACCAAATTCGGTGACATTAGGACCAGCAGATTTGCCCAAAATGTTTAAAATTTCAGACAAATCAAGTTCATCAGGAGAATCTAATTTAAAATGTTGAAGTTTTTGACAATTTTCACAGAATTTATTGACTCCTTCCAATAAATAGGGAGTTATCCTATTTATTGGACAATGAAAATAAAGTAAATCTGGACAATAGTTTGCAACTGATTCAAACAAAAACCCATCTTTGTCCAAATCAGATAAATTCCAACAATCTATTGAAACATAAGTTAGTTTTCCATCTGTGTTTCCAATAATTTGAGATAGCTGCCCTAAACTTAAAGCGTTTGCATAGATTTCTAGCCTTATTAAATTCACAAATGAAGAGTTTGTCAATGGATTGATCAATGAAATGGGTAAATTATTATGAATTTCCAGCTTTAACACTTTTAAATTTTCACAACGTGGTAAAATGTTAACCATATTTGTATGATAGTGTAATTTGACAGAGTTAAAGTCATTAGAATATAATACGAAAGAAGCTTCAGAATGTGGAAAAATTCCAAGTAGATCACTATAATCACTTTTACCATATAACTCTACATGCTTGATGCATTTTTGAACTTTGATCAATTCGTTTAATCCAACATTTTCTCTGAAATTCGTTGTCATTTTAAATATTTCAATATTCTGACAAACCTTTGACAAAGAGGTAAATATTTCTTTTGGAAAATCAGATGAACATTCTATTTCATTTATTCTTGACAAACATTGTTTGGATTTTGGTATGCTCATAAGATACTGAAATTTATAGTCATGTTGTGTAAATATTGGATCAAACCTAATTTTTGTAATATGCTTACATCTATTTACAATGACATGATGGATCATTTGAAGTATCTCAAGATACACAATATCTTCCTCATGTTCTTCATCATCACAATCATCATCAGAACTGACAAAGTAAGGTTCGCTAGAATCATATACGTCATTTAACCAAATAGATATAGTCGAGCTGAGACGTTTTAGATCTAATGTTCGCATGAAAAAGGGATAGTCAAACGTTGATGTTGATGTTGAATTTATCAAAGAAAGAAAATCAGTGTCATTTCTAGTCCTTGGAAAATTTGGCCTTGATTTTTTTTTAAATTTTGATACTGTGTTTTTTAAAGAGTTTTTTTGTTGTTCGGTTGCCCAGTACAGAAAAGCTTTGAGTAGACTTTCAGTTCTTTGTCGTGAGACAGAAAACTCTTTGTACTTTGGTTTGTAACCATTGTTGTTATAGCTTTCTCCAATAGATTCTACTGCTGGTTTTTCCCCATTGTTGTAAAATACTACACTACATAGGGTTTTAAAGGGATCGCTCCATAGTATTGGAGTAGCGGCCTCACACCATATTTTGTTTACCAATACACAAGAATGCAATGCATTGTTATCACTTCTTAAATATTCAAAAATATCTTGAAGACAATCTATTACTAACATTGTAATAAAGAAATCATCCCATAATAATAATTCCAAATATATAATATAATGACACCAATTTATTCCACTTTGACTTTTTTTAATTTACCCACTTGATTTAAAAATTTATTTACAAATAAGGCATATCTGGATGGATTAGGAAGGGATCAACCTCAATTATAATAATAAATATAAACGAAAATGGTCACCTGACTTTAAAACAAAATTTTTATATTAGTATCAAAAAAAAAAATTGAACCATGTACTTTTGTGACTTAATACCTAAGGAACAATACATGGTTGATATAAAAAATTTTGTGCTATAATTAAAGTTGAGATTTCGGACTAAAATCCTTTTTTTATTAGAATTAAGAGAATTAGAGAATTTTATATATGGGGCATGCTTGCAACAAAACCAAACAAAGTGAACATTGGTATTGCCAAAAATTTCAGGGATCAACTTTGTAATGTGATTATTAAAATCTCCTATTTGATACTTATTTTCTACTTATTTCCTACTTATTTTTTACAAAACATACTTGAATCAAAAAAGATGATTCATATTATATAATTAAAGCATTCTTATTTTTTTACAATAATAGGAATGTAGAATATCCTGAATTAAATTTATTGAAAACTAAGAAAGCTGATATTTTTGAAGAAATTAAATCTTTATCCTTTGAATTACAAAAGACAAGAACACCTTTACAATAATATTCATCCATTTGTGAAAGACAAATACAAAGATATTACTTGCCCAAGACCAATCTATACTGGCAATGAATAAAATATTTAGAATAAAATCACCTCTATGACTTCTTACTGTCATTAAGTTTAATAAGTTTAATCTTTTGACAAATATTGTTAGCTTTTCCCACTTTTAAAGTAAAAAGTACTAAAATAATTTACATACTTAATATGCCCTCATAAAAAGGATATAAGTATATTAAAAGAGCAAATAAAAAAAAAATAAAAAAATACGGCAAACACAATAAATGAACTCCAAGAGAGAAATAAGCAATTATTAAATGAAATTGAACAATTAAAAGCACCCTTACAATTTAAACAGTTGAATAATGAAGAAATTAAACAATGAATAGCTACTGTTTTAAGTGAAAGACATTATACTGATAATCTGGATGTAGATGTAGTTGGTGAAATTATGAGAGTAGCTCATTGCAACCAAGAAAATTGAGCTAGTTTTTGCAAGGTGTATCCCACTGAAGCAGCTTGTGGAAATGTGATTTTGAATGCTTATAGTTATTATCCTTATTATAAGCAAACCATGAAACTTTATCAAGTAAGAGATGATGCTAGAAGAAAAATCTTATCAAATTAAATTCTGAGGAAAGTAAAGAATTATTTCGAAAGTGATTAAAAGAAGTTAAAATAGAGGAATATTAGAAAAAGGCTGTGAATGGTGAGATTCAATAAGCATAAGTTGTTATAACTATTATGATCTTGGAAATCTTTCTCTTGATGAGTTAATTAGCAGTTGAAATGAACTAACTTTTAAAACTAAGGAAAATTTTGATAAAACATTTAAACAAAATCAAGAATATGAAGAAAAAATTCAACAGTTAGAAGCCAAACAAGAAGAATTGGAAGCAAGAGTAGAAGAATTCGAAGAGAGAGTAGATATTGAGGTTGAAATGAATTTAAAAGCATTGAAGTCAGCAGAATGGGGGGAAAAACAACTAAAAGAAGTAAAATCAGCCCATGTTTTGAGAGAAAAATGATTTTTGAAACCAATAGAAGTTTTAGAAAACAATATTGATTGATTAAAAAACAAAGAGCAAATATTAAAAAATATGAGGATAGAGAATTACCAACCTTACCTAAAAAGAAAAAGCAAAGTAGACTATTAAAATTCAAAAAGTTAGTAAACAAAGTTAAAGAAAAGAGCAAGGAGAAGTTTCAAACTCATGTTTTGGAAAAGTTTGAGGCTCATATCTTACAACCAAAGTAAACAGAATGAAACTAGAGTACAGAGTTTTGGAATTAGTAAATGGGGATGAACAAGAATGTAGTTATTGCTTTATAGATTATAGTGACCAGACTAACCTTGATTTTAGCACTGCTCCTGCTGCCTATCAGATGGTAGCACATACCAAGTCAGAACAATACTTTGATATATCCTTTATCTGTAAAGATTGTAAATTGGAATATGATAACAATGTTCTCCCAAGATGTGAGAAATACGATAGGTTAATGAGAAATAAGAGTCTATGTTATTGTCATAAAGAAAAAAAGAAGCAAACCCAATCTCTTACTAACAGGGAATTAGTTGCCCAATCTTTCAGTTCTCGCCTAGAAAATAAAACTAGAGAACTAGAAAAAGAGTTATCAATTACCAAAGAAGAATTAAAAGTTGAAAGAGAGGAAATAGACAAGTTTCAAGAGAAATCAGAAGAGTGAGGTAAAAGGCAAAAGCAAGAGTTATTAGATAAGATAAAAAGTTTAGAAGAGAAAATTAATCATCTAGAAGAAGAAAACAGGAAATTAAAAGATCA